ATGTAGACGATAGTGAAAGTTGAGTATGGATTGAAGATATCATTCATGATTCTCTGAAATTCAGAGGGAGCATTCTTCAGTCCAAAAGGCATTACCTTCCATTCGTATTGACCAAATGGAACAGTAAAAGCTGTCTTGTAACATTCATTGTCATTGAGCTAGATTTGCCAAAACCCAGATTTCATGTCAAATTTAGAAAAGATTTTTGCTGAATACAAACGATTGAGAAGATCTTTCTTATTTGGAATCGGATACCGAATCCATTGAAGAGCTTGATTATGAGGTTTGTAATTGGTAACTAACGGTGGAGTTCCACACTCAATTTCAGATTGCAATTTCTTTTTGACAAAAGACAAGAAGTTCACCACTCATTTGAATTGGACGAGCTTTGGTTGGGATTTGCCTTTCATTAAAATCCTTTTCATAGGGAAGATCTACGATATGTTTTTTCCTTTGCCAAAAAGCATTCGGAAGATCAGAACAGATTGTATTTTGGATTTGTTCAAGCAAAACTTTGATCTTTTGTTGAACTTCAGGCTGCTTTAACTGATTTTCAATATTCTTAAAAGAAATTTCTTCTTTAAGGAAATTGATTTGTTTTTGTTTGTAATGGATAAAATTCAAATCTCTTATGATGGGTTTCTTAAGAAATTTAAAAACAATTGGTTTGTCCAAATGATAAGTAATTATACCCTCATCTGTGATAGTTAGAGGAAAAAGAGATTTGATGAACGGAGTTCCAAGAATAACTCCATTTTTGAGGTTTTTAACAAGGAGAAACGGTGTTTCAACTTTTAAATTATCATTTTCAATGATTGCTTTAGGAAGTTTATAATTAACCTGAAGTTTTGAACCACTAGCAGTACTAAGCCGTTCAGAAGTCTTTTCAAAATATTTAGTAGGAATTAGACCTTCTTGAATGCAGTTTGAATCTGCCCCTGTGTCAAACAGAGCTTCAATTTCAAGGTCAAAGTTACCTACATTGAGTTTGATTGGGATATAGAATTTTTGAATTGTTAATTGATTAATTAATCCTAAAAATTCTTCGTCTTTAAGATTTTTATCTTCATCTGGTTTAGACAGAGTATTTTCCATACTCGTTCCTGTTGATTCTTCATTTTGTAATTGAAGAAGGATGTTCTGATGAGTTTGTTGTTGTTCTTTGATTTGTTTAACTTCAGTTTTGAGAATATTGATCTCATACTGAAGATCTTGGACAGTTATAGGTTTGACAGTAATACTCTTTTCTAGTTTTTTAATGGTTATCTTTAAGATTAAACTTATTAGGAACCAACAACTCTTTAGATTTAGAAGAACTGGTTTCCAAGGATGATTTTAATTTTGCTAAGTAAGCTTTCTTTTCATGGGGATCACTGATTGAATCTATGACTTCGAACAAAAGATCTTGTTCTTTAGTCAGGACATTAATTTCTTGCGAGGATTGTGAGTCCTCACTAGAAGATAAATCATCTTCATGAATTTGATTTAAGTCTTCTGAGGATTCTTTTCCAGATTCTTCATCAGAGGATTGGATTAGAAGATTATTGATTTGTTCTTCAATAGATGGATCAAGGTTTAGGTTATTTAGTTTTTTCTTAAGCCTACAATATTTACTAATATGTCCAGGTTTACCACAGCTGTAGCAAATAGTTGGCTTAATTGGTTTGGATGTATTTTGTGATTTATTTGTTTCAGTATTTGGCTTAGGATTTTCATTTTTAAACCTTTTATTGTAATTGGGTTTCTTACGAAAATTCCTAAAAGTTTTAACCTGTTTTTGTTCCTGTTTTTTATGTTTTTTAGGTTTTGTAGTACAAGGCAGACCAAATTGTTCACAAAATGATCCTAGATCTTTACGATTTTGAGTCTTTTCTTTTGCAAGTTGACGTTGGATTTTATCATCTTGACAGATTTTTAAAGCTACCTTTTGGATATAAGCAACTAATTGTCCATAACTTAATTGCTCATAAGGGATATCTCCAGTTAGAGATTGATGACGGATTTTATCCCTAACTTTGTCTCCTAAAGATTTTGGAAGACCAGCTAAGAATTTTTCTTTCCAGAAAGGTTGTTGACTATCATCTCGAGTGTAAACCCTAGTTAGGAAGGTATCTTTATACCAGCGAAAGTCACCTAAGGTTCTACATTTAAGATTGGATAGGAGTTCAGCAGAACGATCTTTCCATAAGGATGGATCACCAATGAAATGTTGGATAATGGTGAAGATTAATTGATTAACAGCATCTGGAATAGTTTTTCCATCAGAGACTATAGGAATGCCATCAGGATCAACTTTAATGGCATTAAGAACATAATTTTTTTCATCTTCAGAAAGATAATTATCCCACCAACCTTTGAGTTGACCAGAAAAGCCAGAGACAATAATATTGACTATAATTGCTTCAGAACAATTATGAGAAGTTTGATAGGCAGTTGCAACCATAGTCATATGGTGCATTATATTGAGTATGTTATACTCTGATTGACCATCTATGTTCCATTCATAGACGTTGTTACCATTAAAACTTTTGAAACTTGTATTCTTTTCTTCAAGTAGAAGATCAGGAGCAGTTGCTTTTTGGTAATAAAGTTTGGAAGGGTTTCTCCAATTATTAATACCAGTTATAGGATTAATTTTAATTTCAGATTTGTTATCTGACTCAGGAGATTCATCATAATGACTCAGAGTATTGATAGTTTTTGACCGAGTGTTATGTTTATGAGACTGTTGAGTCTCTTGATCAGAATGTTGTGGGGTATCAGGAATGGTTAATGTACTTAACTTCTCATCAATTTTCTTAAGAAATTCATCCTGAGACTGAGATTGAGCAGGTTTTAACTTTGCAAACTCTTTTCTAAGTTGATCATTCATTTTGAAAGGTTTGAACAAAGGTTTTTCTAAGATTTTAGAAGAAGATGCAGAGGATGAAGGTTCAATAGTTTTGTTAAGTTTTTCACCCAAAATTTGAAGATATTTATTGGTGTAATTAGATTGTTCAATAAGATTTTTAAAATCCATTGGAGAGATTTGTTCATTTTCATCTTTTAATTTAAAAGGTGAAGCAAGAACAGATCTACTTTTGTTATCACAAACCTTTGGGAGATAGAAAGAAGTTGTGGGAGGAAATTCGGACTTAATGACTTCTCCTTCTTTCAGGTGCCAAACAGTAATGACATTAGCAGTTTGTGGAGTTTTGAATGGATAATCAATATCCTGTTGGACAGAATAAGCTTGAAACCAATCAAAGAAAGGAATGTTTAACTTTACTTTGTTAAGAAAGTTATAAAATTCTTCTTGGATTAGTTGTCTTTTAATTCCCTTATAATTTTGGAAGAACCATTCTTTTTGAGGAGACCGATCCTTAGAATTAAAGTCTTTCCTAAGGGTTTCCTTATCTATAATGAACTTAGATAACATCATAAGAATTATGCATAGAGGAATAGGTTGGAGATTGAATAGATTTTGGGGATTGGATAATATTTTGTTCATTTTCTTCTTCTTTTTGGGTATATGAAGGTTTAGGAATAGAAGAAGAGGTGTCCAAACCTTGGAGATGGAGATTGAACCTACTAGGTTCAGAGATTGTAGAGAAAGATCTCCTTGAAAGAGCTGATTGAAAATCTTCAGAACGAAAATCTTGAGTTTGAACAGACCTGGAAGAACTTGCAGAACTGAAAGAGTTTCTTCTATCGAAGATGATTTCAACAGCACCACTTGGGAACTGCTTGATTTCTCTGAAATTTGGAGTATCTCTAGGTTGAGCAGGTGTTGCCTTCTCAAGTCTCCATTTTTCTGGTAGAACTACGTCAGACCAACGGATAGTTTTGGGTACAGTGACATTTGCTCTAGACATGTCAGTAAGGAACAAAGTAGTTTCCCCAGTTTTCTTGGGTTTAAGAACCCTAGAGATGGAAGAATTCAATACTTTATATTGAATCCTAAAAAGCAAAGCTGCTGGAATAGATCCGGTTTTCATGTCCAGACCACTTGTCTCAACGTTCAATGTTAAGACATCCAAGATATTTTTATCTTGAAGACTAACCATACGATCAGGATAACAATTGAAAAAGATTGGTCCATTGCTTAGGCTTGTTTCAACAGTTCCAAGTATAGAATCTGTAAATTTGTTATGCCTTGTATGACGAAGGCATAGAAGAACAGAAGCATTTAGACCTTCAATTCCAAGAGGTTTAATAGCCACTTGGACACATCCAATGTGCAAATAGTTATAACTCTGTTTATGAGTTTGTATAGAGATTTTGACAGGAGTTGAAATTCTTCAAATTCATTATTTAAAGGGATATTTCTTTCAACTGTTCTGATGATATAGTCAGATTTCCGAAAGAAGTTTCCTTCGGGTTTGTACAGTTCATTAGTTGGAATTCTGGGAATTTCCCAGTTATCCAGATCTTGATTGATATCTTCAAAGGAGATTTCTTCTTTAAAAATATTTTTTGTTTGATTTTTAACTTGATCTTTATGGATGGAAGAAGAAGATGGCTGAGATGATTTGAAAGAGAGCTTAGAAGAGAAAGATTTAAACATGATAATAAGACAGATGTATTTCCCAGATATCATCACCATCATTTGGATCCATAGTAATACAGAGATAGATGTAAATTAACTTTTATCAACTGAGCATTAGATTAAGACTTTAATGTAAATAAACAACAGATTGTATATATATATATATATATATATATATATATATATATATATATATATATATATATAAAAAGAATGAGACCTCGAGAAGAATTAATTGGCCAACTACTGGAGTTTGAAGTTCACTTGATCAGAAAGAAAAAGACATAAAAGAAAACATGTTTTTGGTTAAGCACATAATGACTACATAGTCAATTGCCACACTAAAGATATATCATATAATGCAAAAATAAATTATTGTATGTGTACTGTGAGAAATAATTTTGAATTTTTTTTTTTCCAATTCTACTGGACACATAACACAAACTTAATCAGAGTTTCCCAAACAGGAGGACAAGAGAGGCTAGTGAAAAAAAAATGGAATAAATAAAAGACAGACCTTTAGTTTGTTGTTCCAGGTAAGAAGCAAGATTCATAATTCATTTAGGTATACACACCATTACTTATCGAAAAAAAATTCTTCACATGCAGAGACTTCCTACATATTTACATATGTATGCATATAATGTATCTAACAAAAAAGAGAGGCCCAAGTTAATAAATTTCAACAGAACTTGGGTTATCCTCGTAAGAAATTCAATTGAAATTAGTTTACAAACAAAAGAAACAAAAAATAAAAAAGAAAACAAATTATTGTTTATGTCATATTTTCATTGCCAAGAGAGGAGAAGTGAGGACTAGAGGAATGAAATCAAATTTCAAATGACCATTAATAAAAAGGATTACTTTTTAATCATTAGTCAATCATACAAAAGAGGAACAACTTACATCTTTTTTATCCAATGGTGTTAAAAAAGGATCTCTCACACTAAGGCCAGCGACAACAGTTAATATAGGATCCAGGCAATTGAAGATAGAACCTAAGATAAGTATCTTGCCAAGTTTGGGTTCCATAGGAAGCATTGTAAGATAGCGCCCTGTCAATTGAAAGACCAATGATAAGTCTATATCATTTTAAGTAAAAACTTAATAAGCTATTTTTCCAGTACTAGTAAGGGATCCCACCTACCTAGAATAGTCAGATTCTCATTCTCATCCAAAGCCCCGATTATTTTTAAATATTCAATTGCATTTTGCACCTATTGAGTAAAATAATTAAACAAAAATGAGATACAAATTAATATATAAATAATCAAAAAATTAATAAATAAACGAATTTATTTAAATAAAGAAAAGGGTGTGCATGAATTGAAGTCGTTTGAAAGAATAAATCGAATTTATCATTACCGCAAGTATCTCAGGAGATTGCAAAGCCCTTGACAAGAACTCTGATATACTTCCAAGTCTTAGACTTTTGATTTGTAAACATAGAGATTGCAAAGGTGTTCTCAAAATTTCTGGCAATTGATACTCTGCAAAAGCATCATATACACACCTAGGATAGAGATGGTAACACTCTCCTGGTTGAACACGACCAGCTCTTCCTCTTCTCTAGAAAAATAGTATTCAGGGAAAAAAAAAAGATAAATAATATCAACGTGAATGGTCCAATTGTTTCATCAGACGCTAACCTTGATAGCCAATTCACATGGAATGTGGAAATTGCCACAAATTTGATATATTAGGACCCGATGTGCCATTTTTTAAAAGATCAATGGAAACTGCAATTGCCCAAAGATTACTGTACCAAATCCTAGAGAATAAAACTTCTATAGCTAATTGAATAATTTTACTCACAAAAGGCACTAAACATGGAAGTATAATCATACCTATAAAAGAAAAAAATTCGAATTGTCCAAACGCTCTTTATAGGTTATACATTAAAGATACTGTATATCAGTGATGTAACGGATCAAATATAAATTATATTTTGGGTTTTCATGATTTTACTTTTATTTTAGCATGAATTTTTTTAGGTTGTTAGGTAATTTCAAGGTGACTGCAATAGAATTAGATATTTATAATGATTCTGTCGTGAATCAACTTCCCCAAAACTTAAGCGGTTGGATCAAAACACATGAATAATTTTTATTATATATCTAAAACATACCATATGCATCAAGATTTGATTTTATATTATTAGAGTTATCTCGTATGTTTACTTGTAGGGGGAAGGCAATGGTTGTGTTCTAACTTCTCAGTCATTTAAAAAGTCATCTGACTAACATGTGACCTTTTAGTGAACTTGGATGGCTGTGATTTACTTAAGCCATGAGTAAGGGTTGGTTAGGATGTTAATTACTAGGGTTAATTACAAGTCTTCTACAAAGACCTAAGGAACTATTAGTCAGATTTTGTCATAAAATTAAGTCAAAACTACAAAGTCCCATTTGCAAGGTATGAGACTTGGAGTCCCACATTGGTTGTATGGGCAACTAATGTGGGGTTTATAAGGCTTTGGGCACTCCCACCCTTTGAGCTAGTTTTTTTGGAGGTGCATCCCAAGGTGCTTATCAAATGGTATCAGAGCCTTCCACTATGTCTCCCGCTTGCAATCAAGCGGCGCGGTGGTGACACCGTCATTGCAGTATTCGCCTGGGGTCAGTAAAAGACTAGCGCAAAGCCTGCCCGTATGAGCGCCGGGGCTGCAGAGCGTGGTGGAATGTTTGGACTCATTTGCAAAGAACGAGACTTGGAGTCCCACATTGGTTGTATGGGCAACTAATGTGGGGTTTATAAGGCCTTGGGCACTCCCACCCTATGAGCTAACTTTTGGGGTGGTGCATCCCAAGGTTCTGATCAGTTTTGACCTAGAATTCCATTATTTCACAACAGACTTTATCTTTTTCACCAAGAGCATTAGAAGTAGTAACAATGGAAGAACATTACGCGAGCAGTCAAGAAAATTGTATGGGCAACTAATGTGGGGTTTATAAGGCCTTGGGCACTCCCACCCTATGAGCTAGCTTTTGGGGTGGTGCATCCCAAGGTTCTGATCAGTTTTGACCTAGAATTCCATTATTTCACAACAGACTTTATCTTTTTCACCAAGAGCATTAGAAGTAGTAACAATGGAAGAACATTACGCGAGCAGTCAAGAAAATTGTATGGGCAACTAATGTGGGGTTTATAAGGCCTTGGGCACTCCCACCCTATGAGCTAGCTTTTGGGGTGGTGCATCCCAAGGTTCTGATCAGTTTTGACCTAGAATTCCATTATTTCACAACAGACTTTATCTTTTTCACCAAGAGCATTAGAAGTAGTAACAATGGAAGAACATTACGCGAGCAGTCAAGAAAATTGTATGGGCAACTAATGTGGGGTTTATAAGGCCTTGGGCACTCCCACCCTATGAGCTAGCTTTTGGGGTGGTGCATCCCAAGGTTCTGATCAGTTTTGACCTAGAATTCCATTATTTCACAACAGACTTTATCTTTTCTTGACTACTCGCGTAATGTTCTTCCATTGTTACTACTTCTAATGCTCTTGGTGAAAAAGATGACTGGTGAGTAGATATAAGGTCTATCAAGCTCCATATAGTATGTCTTGTGTATATATCTTCCCAAAATCATGTTTGCTAGACTAGTAGAATAGAACAGACAGTCGCTCTCTCCTCTCAATGCTGAAGGCAAGATTAAGAGCTAAGCCTATGTCTAGCAAAAATAAGCCGAGTTGTTATCATACAAAAATTCACACTAAAACCAGACTATTGCCGATGTAGCCATGGTTGTTAAACTCGCGCGTTTACTCGTGAAATCGGACGAGTAAACGCTTCAGCAACAGTGTTACGAGTCATGATCTTCATTTACTCGGTTTTGGTCCTCAAATGGCAGAAACGTCGAGTATCTTGACAAACTCGTATAATCGTACGAGTTACACGTTTTCATCAGGAAAAAAAAACCATTACCCGAATATTTGACCCGAAAAGGAGTGAGTATAAATGGGTTTTTTTAGATAAAAAAAAAACCTAGATCCTCTGAGCCACCATCATGGGGTGGGAGAGAAACTCGCGACTGACGAAGACCAGACCTTCAAGCCACCGTCACTGTCTTCTCTGCGTGAGTGAACTGAAGCTTCTCCGCGTGCTTCGTCATCTTGCTGAGTGAAGCTTCTCCTCCGCGTTCTTCGAGCAACGTCTTCTGCTTCGCCGTCGTGCTTCAAGCCACCGTCATCGGTCATCCCTCACCGCCTAGTGCTCTCTGCCTCTCTGGTTCGATCTCTTCTTTGTTTCGTTTTTTATTTTTCTCAAGTCGCCTCTGTCTGTCTCATCTTCTACGGTCTGTTTTATTTATTTTTTTTAATTTATAAATCATTTTATTTTATTTTATTTTATAAAACAAAATCAGTTTATTTTATTTTATAAAACAAAATCAGTTTATTTTATTTATAAAACAAAATCAGTTTATTTTATTTATAAAACAAATTCATTTTTTTTTGTTTTATAAAACAAAATCAGTTTATTTTATTTATAAAACAAATTCATTTTTTTATTTTATAAAACAAAATCATTATATTTTATTTTATAAAACAAAATCAGTTTATTTTATTTATAAAATAAATTCATTTTTTTATTTTATTAAACAAAATCAGTTTATTTTATTTTATAAAACAAAATCAGTTTTTTTATTTTATTAAACAAAATCAGTTTATTTTATTTTATAAAACAAAATCAGTTTTTTTATTTTATTTGATAAACCGTAAACTAAACTAAACCAAATCAGATTTGTTTTTTTTTTTTTGGGTATCCAAACCAAATCAGATTTATTTGAAAAAACAAATTAATTTTTTTTTCACTTGAATTGCCTCAGTTTGATTTTATATTCAAAGGAAAAAATAAAATTAATTGTATTAAATTAGTCTAAGTTAATTTCACTTGAATTGTGGTTAATTTTTATTATTTGTTGTGAATTTGAATGTTGTATATTTTTAGAAAATGTCTTCAAGTGGTGTTAATAGTACTACTGCATGTGGAAGTGGAGGAACAACAACTTCTAAAAAAATTCATAAGAATGCTCTTGGAAGTAAGAATGATGTTGCATGGAGTTATGGATTTGTAGTGGATGGAAATGAAAAAAAAATTAAATGCAAGTTTTGTACAAGGGTACTAATTGGAGGAGTTTATAGACTGAAACATCATTTGGCTGGGACTAAAAAAGATGTGCTAGCTTGCCCATCTGTTCCTGATGATGTGAAGAAACAAATGTGGGATATTGTGTTCTTGTTGCAAAATAAGAAATCAAGTAGTCAGTCTCAAAATGAATGTGAAATACTTGGAGAAAAAAGAAAAGGGGAAGAAGATGAAAGCTCTCAATCTCAATCTCAAGTTCCAAATATTTTCAAGAGAAAAGGAGTGAGTACTCAAACCACCATCAATTGTTTATTTAAGAAGGATTTGAGAGAGTCGGCATGTTCAAAAATTGCTAAATTTTTTTATGCCAATGCTATACCATTTAATGTTGTGAAGAGTGATGAATTTCAAGAGATGTTTGATGATGTTATACGACATGGTCATGGATTTAAACCTCCATCCTACCATGAAATCAGAGAAAAATATTTGAAGCAACATGTGCAGTTGACAATGACTGATATGGAGAAACATAAAGTTTTTTGGAAGAAAACAGGTTGCACAATAATGACTGATGGTTGGACTGATCAAAGGAGGAGGACATTAATCAACTTCTTGGTAAATAGCCCCAAAGGAACAGTTTTTTTGAAGTCTATTGATGCCTCTCATATATCAAAAACCGCTGAAGCCATTGTTGCTATGCTTGAAGAAATTATTAATGAGGTGGGAGAAGAAAATGTTATTCGAGTTGTGTCTGACAATGCTGCCAATTACAAAGCTGCTGGAAGGTTGTTGATGGAAAAAAGATTACATTTGTATTGGACACCTTGTGCCGCTCACTGCATTGATTTGATGTTGGAAGATCTTGAAGGCATACCAATGCATAAAGATACCATTGCAAAGGGGGGAAAAATTACTACTTATATATATTCAAGGACTTCCTTAATTTGTTTATTACAACATTTTACAAAAGGAAAGGATTTGGTGAGGCCAGGCATGACTCGCTTTGCCACATCATATCTGACCTTGGGTTGTCTAGGTGAAAACAAGGGACCATTGCAAAGAATGTTCACTTCAGAGAAATGGCAGTCTAGCCAGTGTGCAAAATCAAAGGATGGGAAATATATTGAGGATGTGGTTATAGACAAGAAGTTTTGGAAGAACCTTGTCAATTGCTTGAGGGGTGCTTTTCCGTTAATCAAAGTGCTTCGTATGGTTGATTCTGATGCAAAACCAGCCATGGGATACATTTATGAAGCAATGGATAAAGCAAAAGAAACTATTCGAAGCGATCTCAGAGGCGTCGAAAGCAGGTAATTATGAATTTAAAGCAAAAGAACCTTGTAATTTGTAGCCTTTGTTTTAAAACTAACTCAATTTGTTCCCACCTTAGATATATGCCTCTATGGACAATCATTGATAACAGATGGGATCGACAACTCCATAGACCTTTGCATGCTGCAGGCTATTACCTTAATCCTCAACTTCATTATGGTCCTGATTTTAAAGCTGATTTTGAAGTTATGCATGGACTATATCTGTGTTTGGATAGGATGACAACAAGTATTGAAGAAAGAAATCGCATTGATAAGCAAATTGAAATTTTCAAGATGCAAGAAGAGTTTTTTGGTAGTTCAATAGCTCAAGAAGGCTTGAAATTAAAGACTCCAGCACAATGGTGGGAATCTTATGGATTTCAGTATCCAGAGTTACAAAGATTTGCCATTCGTATATTAAGCTTGACATGCAGTTCGTCTGGGTGTGAGCGTAACTGGAGTGCTTTTGAGATGGTAAATTATTTGTATTTTATAGTTAAAATTTAAAATCACTACCTATTACTTGCTAATTGCTATATATTCATTGGGTTTGTATTTGTTTAGGTCCATACCAAGAAAAGAAATCGCCTGAAACAGCAGAAAATGAATGATCTTGTATATGTGATGGCCAATTTAAAATTGTCCAAGAAGAGGGAACGCAAAAAAAGTGTTGGGCAAGAGCATGAGTTTTATAGCATAGATGATCTTTCATCTGATGATGAATGGATTGTGGAAAATGAGGGAAGCCCATCCAACATTGAAGATATAGATGATTTGGATATTCCTAAATTTAACTTAGATGCTACAGATGAAGATGCTTTGATGATGATACCTGAAGCTGATGGTGGTTCTGAACTTGGTGGGAAGGTGGAGAAGACATCATGCAACATTGTTTTGGTGATGAAGATGAAGATGAAGATGAAGGAAATAATGAAGATGGTGATGAAGATGGTGATGAAGATGATGAGGAGGAGGATGATTATGATATTCCATCATTCCATTGAGATTTGATTGATATATTGTTTTGGATTTGAATGTTGTGTGCTATGACTTTATGTGTTTGAGACATTATGAGATTATGACTATTGTATGACATTATTATGCTGGTTGGTTGAATTAAATTTGCTTATTATATTACTTTATATGCATATAAATATATAAAAATATAATTTGTATCTTGTGTTACGAGTCTACAATCCGTGTTACGATTCTGCGATTTACGATTTTGGTTCACCCTTCCGAGTTTGCATAAAATCTCGAGTTTGACAACAATGGATGTAGCACTATAACTAAGTATGGATCCTATTGTTCAGTGTCCATTGCAGTCAGCCAACTAAACTGTTAAAAAGTATGCAGAAAGTTAGCAAAAATAAAACCACAATATATATATATATATATATATATATATATATATATATATATATATATATATAGGAGCAGGATCATTTTAGAAAAGTATAAATTACACTCTCAAACTTAGTCGTTGATTCTACTTACATCTCATAGTTCACACAACTAATAAATTGGAGCCATTAGATGTGACTAGATCAACATTTAAAATTTGGTGTAATACTTATTATTCTTATGTCAGCATAAGTTTTGTACATGTGAGTGTGTGTGTGTGTGTAAAATAAAAAATGATGTTTGAACATATTACATAAATGATTAATGCTGGACACAAAATCGACTAAGGTATATGACCTTACTTGTTGAGCAGAAACCTTGGAGATCCATGAAGGAAGCAAACAAGGCGTATTATTCAGTGCATCATATGATGTTTCTTTTGCCTTTCCGCAGTCAAGAACAAAAACAACATCATTTATCGTGATACTCGTTTCAGCAATATTTGTTGCTAGCACTATTTTTCTTACTCCATCTTCGGGTTCTTCAAATATCAAGTTCTGCATATCCAATATGTATAATCTATCTAAACATTGATCCTAAGCAGGAAGGCAAAGCACATACTTCCATTCTTCAACAAAAGACTATGCATGTCATACATAGTTAAAAGTAATTTCCAGACAAGGTGTTGTTATGGGATTCTGATCAATATGCTTTTTAATTTTCAAACATAAACATTATCATTTATTGTGATACTCGTTTCAGCAATATTTGTTGCTAGCAATATTTTTCTTGCTTCATCTTCGGGCTCTTCAAATATTAACATCTGCATATCCAATTTTGTAATCTATCTAAATATTGATCTTAAGCAGGAAGGCAGAGCACATACCTCTTTTCTTCATTAAAAGACTGCATGTAATATATGGGGTAGGTTATATTTACAAACTTTTTGTTACAAACTCTTAAAAACTACACTATATATTCCCGGGAATACATAGTGTAGTTTGTAAACAAAAAGTTTGTAAATATAACCTTTCCCGTAATATATTGTTAAAAGTAACTTCTAGACAATGTGTCGCTAAGGGATCTGATCATTATGCTTTTTTATTTTCAAACAGAGAATTTCACAGAAGTTGTTGATACAGTGGAGTGCACAACATGTAAGGTGATACATACAGAATACAAAATCAACTCTGACAATGAGCCAACAGAAAAAATATTACCTGCTCCGAACTAGCCATTGAGCCATGACATGTAAGCAACAAAACTCGATTTGGATCTCCCAAGACAGTATGGGTAAGGAGCTTATCTTTAAGAGAGTTTATATCATCCCATCCAGTCATGAAAACCAAAACAGCACCAGGTCTTTCATCCTCACATATATTGCATAATATATATTCTATGAGACTAAAACCAATGCAGTCAGGATTCCAACATGACAAAGACTCCTGTGTCTGTGGATCGTAATCTTTGGAATCAGCAGCTCTAATTGCGTCCTGGTCACACATTTTTCTAAGACAGATTAAAATTAAGAAAATACTAAACAAGATCTGAAGCAACTGCAGTTCAGAATTTCTTAAATACCTCTACAGCAGAAGCAATTTGGCTTTTCCTCTTTCTTGGGGCCTGTTTATTCATTTTCCACATCCTTTCTTGACCATAATCATCAATTTGATTATGAGGAGTCAATCTGTAGCCCGTCATTTCAAGAATGTTCTCCAAAAAATGAGTTCTAACGGGGTAAGTGAAGCCCTATATTAACACGCATATCCACCCAACCAGTGAGAAAAGGGAAAACTTAGTTTTTGGCTCCAAATATTATCCTTTTTTATCAACAAAATTTAGAATATCTATCCCAAAAAAAAGTGTAACAAAAAATCTCAAAACTAAAATAGAAAATACTTGGAAACATGAATGATGCATCCATATACTCCCATCTATGATGATATTATACCTACTTAACATCCATACCATATACTTCCTTAATACTTCCAAATCATCTTATTTTATACCTAGAGATTTATAATCCTTCGACCATAAAAAATATCAAAAGACAATATCCCCCATCACAATACAAACAAGGAATATCATTCAGTTTCTGTGACGCACCGGAATATTCATAACTGGAGCCTCATTAAAGTATGAAGAGAAAAGTTCAGCATCTACGGTAGCACTCATCAAAATCAGTTTCAGTTCTGGTCGATGGGGAAGGAGATCTTTAAGGACAATAAGCAGAAAATCTGTAATAAAAAATGCAAGAACATTAATATTCAGAAATCTTCAGAAAGCCAAAGGCTGAATCAAGTTCAGAATTCTACCTTCATTTATCCCACGTTCATGAATTTCATCCACAATAATATGAGTAACACCTTTTAAGTTCCTATCAGCTAGTAATCTTCTTAATAAGATGCCTGTGGTGCAAAAGAGAAGATGGGTATCCTTCCCTTTCATACCCTCCAATCGAACTTTATATCCAACCTTCCAAAGGGAGGGAGGGAGAGAGAGAGTGTGTAAGCAACAGATAGAGAGGGAAAAATACTTAAAAATTCTCAGAAAACCGAACAGTTATGGGTTAGATAGTATATTAACAAGAAATGTCTTTGGCAGACAAACTCACAGATTCACCCAATTTTTCCCCCCTCTCAGAAGCAACCCTTTCAGAAACCGACATGGCTGAAATGCGTCTTGGCTGTGTGCATATAATATTACAAGCAGCTCCACGAACTGATTCTATCTCAGATTCTAAAATAAATTGTGGAATTTGTGTTGTCTTGCCACAGCCTGTTTGACCTGAAATGATAACTACCTGCAAAAAATGACAATTAATAATTAACAATTGAATTATAGATGTCAATTATTAATAGAACCATTTACTGTCATGGTACAACATCAGTGGCTAAGCAAAAAGAGAGTTTCATGTGAAACTAGCAGTGGGCATATAAAAGCTGAAAAGTTTTGTATCACTTCCAAGGGTCTTGACTCTCTTGAGGATCCCATGTGTACTGCTGAGGATATTAATTTCATCTTATCACCCTAACTTACACATATTACAGTAAATATATAAGCTAAAGCAGGTCAAATCTCAAGCTTTTTCCGACTATTGATTTGTGGCATTCTACCCACCACAAACCAACACACTTCTCGAGATAACTTTGCTCAAGCTAACCATATGATACAAACAGTATGAGATATAGTTGCCTGAAAAACATCAGCTTGAGCACTGCATTATATCAAATTACCCAATAGCAACTGGCTATGCTATGGAAAAAATAACAAAATATATACCCGAAATTTATTATCATTATACAATTTTCCCAACACCACCACTGCCACTCCCTCCTCCCCACCCTCCTTTTTGAATGACCACAGCTGCCGCTGCACAGCAACTCAACCATACCACCATGTTTAACCATTTGCTCTCCAGTAAAAGGATAAACTCTATTCTTTCACCCGATATCATTGATTTAAAAATTTTGACAACAAAAATTACAACTATATCTTTTCAGAACTTCTGAATTTCACAATAAAATTTGAAGTTTACATAACTCCACTAAATTTATCCTCTGAAGTCTGAACCACCTCATAATTGCTCAGTTAATCAGCCAGTCAAACTGGCTGACAGGAACCAACCTACAACATAACAATACTGACATGGACACATATACATGCTATAAAACTAATTTTGGAGACTTACATCTCAAAGTACAATACAATTAATAAATCAAAGAGGCTTAATCCATGAAAATAGCCCTAATGATATACAACTATTCAGCAAACCTGATTCCTTGATATGACTGATAATATTGCTTCTTTCTCTTTATAAGCAGGGAGACTGATACGAAATTCTAGCATGCTTCTTCCTTCAGGAGATTCCTGAAATGAAAAGGGAAGATGTCAAGAAATTCAATCCATTTTTGTTCTGTCTCAAAGGTTTCTAAACCTCATTGGATATTTTTGCCAGTCATTAACTAGAGACTCAGGGAAAACCCATCTGTATATATAGCTGATAAAGCCAAGCCAGTATCCATAAGCACTTGTACAGATATAGCAGACACAAACTGTAATGACCACCCAGAAGAACCAAAAAACTTTTAACTTATTACCACAAAAGTTACTCATGAATAACAATAAGCATTATTCTGAACTATAGGACAATCGAGTGAACACATCATCATAAAGTATAATTCATCTTAAAAAAATCTACATTGCACGATATATATAGGTATGGTACTGGTATCAGTACAGATAAAAAACAAGGAGCATCCAAAATATTTAAAAAGTAATAGTTGATGTTGCAAGAAGTCATGAACATTGAACAGATCAATTAAGGAGCAGTCACCCAAAATATCTATAAAAAGAAAAAAAATGCTGCAAGAACAGAAACAAGGGAGAATAACAGATTTATATCGATTTGGGTAAGAGGACAGAACAAAATGTAAGAATTGCTGGATGGCTGGGAGAAATTGCAAGCTACCACTGCAAGCCACCATCAAAGAATGACTGGGGAAGACAAAGGTCTGGCCATCCAAAAAAATGAATGGGCATGCTGAAACATGAAAATGAAAGCAGGAAGGGGGAAAATGAGACCAAGATTGAAAACAACAATGTTGTGGGGCAAAATTAACCAAGCCGTACCCAGTCAAACTGAGCCACACCTGTGTCCTATCCAAGCCATACCTGTACCACGTACATAGGTATGTGTACATCTAGCAAAATAGCGTACCGATGCTTCAAAGATGAAAACTGATAAAAAATGGTTTAACATATTATATTTCACATCTCACCAGTAGAAACGAGAAACTCCAAAGGAACCATTGCATAAGCAGATTGCTTGATTAATACTCATTTAGTTTGTGAGAATGTGAGTTTGTGTATTAAGGAATATTATATTCCTCACTTATCAGGTTTCCCCACTCCTACCATTAATATAAACTACCCTCTCCCTCCCCTTTTCTGCCAGTTTGTCTGCAACATTATAGCATTAACTTCCTAGTTCCTACTTATTAGGTATTTTGAGATAAATAGTAACCCACTCACTTCAGTTCATGAATTAAACCATATTTTACAAGACTTATCTGCATGGCATAACTACCATATGATATCCTTCCCACCCATCACTATAGTATACTTTGGAATTATTAGATAAAAAAAATTTCAATTTACTTATATATTGCCTCTTTACAACAGAAAAGAAAATTGTTGGTTAATCTAAACCCTTGCTCAAATCGAATTGCATCATGTAATGAATACTATAGTTCTAACAGTTGGGTCTTATTGAAGTTGATGGTTATCGTGCTATATATACATAATAACGTGATAAAGAAAATTACAAAAGAATGCACGTAAATTTCTTGTTATTATTGTTCCCGTAAAGTGTTTAACTCTCTAGTCTAAATGATGTCCCAATCTGCTTCAACTCTCATATACTGTCTGTAATCATATTCTAAGATTTTCCATCTCAACCCTTCAATGTACAATACCCATTTTTCATATCCCATCCCCTCAAAATGGAGTGCACATAGAAATCCACAGATTATATGCAGCAAGAACTTCTCTTTTTGTTTTTCCCCAATAAAATCCTGCAAAACCCCTTTTTAACACCTTAAGCAGAATGTAGATTACTAAGTAGTAAATAGTAACAAGGTTAATATCAAAATCTTACAACTCCAACTTTTGAAGCGAACATAAAGAATTAAAAAAAAAAATGCACACAAACTATAATACAGAACAGGAACGCATGCCATAATTTTATATTTAAGGGAGATAACCTGCCAAGCATGCTGCTGATTGCGCATATGTAAGCTTCTCTGCCAGAGAATTGTATCCGCAACAGCCTTACTGGATGCTAGTGGCTCAGGTAGCTCAAAAAGCCCTTCATCTGTACCAAAACTGCCATTACTGCTTGATCTTGCAAATGAAAAATCCGAAAAGCTTCCATTCACCCTGGACTTCTGGTTAAGGTATTCCTCAAAATATGCATCAACTCGCCTAAACATGGTAATAGGCATGCTGACCTGTCAAATCATTAAAGCTTTACTAAGGCGTCTCTGATGAGAGATAAATTTTCCACTGATAAGACTTTTATATAAAAATTTCTTATCTAAGTTCCTTAGGATCCAAAGACAGTCAAATATAAAAAGTCAAACAGATGAGAAGAGTAGAAAGAAGAAAAAGGAGAACGTTTAAGGAAAACTAAGATTTTGTTTAGTGTCTGAAATCAGAGCAAAGGAGAAAGTAGTGAACAGGATTTATATACCTCCCTCTGGGGCCGCCGATCGTCCAAATCATATCTGTAGTTTGGAAGTGGAACCTTACTGAAGACAACAACCTTCGCATACATATGGCTGCCAAAAACAAATGCAACTCAGATTCCTCACAATAAAGACCAAGACTTGTGACTCAAGCAACAATAGTCGGGTCATGAAAAAGAATAGAAAACACACCTATACAACCCCATTCTGCTTGCCAAAACTGCTATTTGCTCAAAATCACGCCTATCCTTTTTCTCCCGTGAGATCAACTCTTGCTTACTCTTGTCATTTAAGAGCATCGTCAATTTCCGCTTCCACTCATCAGTGTTATCATAAGGGGAAGCACTCTGGTAAGCAAATTTTGAAGCAACCAAAAATAAATATACATTAAACTCAAATACTACTTTACAAATATCTACACTTACACTTCGAATAACGAGAAAGAATCTCGACGTTAAGAAATGGGGAAAAAAATTGAACTATGAAGCAGTAATGTGAATAAACTCACCGGTAGTGACGGAGCCTCAAATTCACGATCGGAACCTTCCTCGGAAACTACATCGTCATAAGCAGAAATGTAGCGCGAGTTCCCCTTATTAGGAACTTGCTCCGTAGTAGCGGTGGGTCTAGGGTTTTCGCTGAACTTGGCGCCAACCGGAGCGGGGGAGTTGTAATTGGCGGAGGTGACGACGGAGCGTAGGCGTTGGTGCGGCGGAACGTAAATGGCGCCAAACGAGGACAGTGGTGGTCGGTCCTTCATGGAGAGAAACGGAAGCTTAATTGAGGGTTTTAGGGTTTTGTGAATGGACGAGGGTTGCGGAGCAGAGAGCATGCAAGCTCCTACGGCGTCGTTTCCGATGTTATGCTTCGTCTTTCGTCACGTCACTTCTTCGGTTAACTCTGTTTGTGTTCGTTGTTCGTGTGTGTGTGTGTGTGTGTGTGTGAGAGAGAGAGAAGAATGACTCAGGGAATGGAAGATGATGGCAGATAGAGTACGATCTCCCTTTCATGCTCCTAAATCCTAATACGGCTCTCGTGCTTTGCAATTCCGCCACGTCAGTCTCAGTACCGCCACGTTGTCAATTTATTGGAGAAGAACAAACAACGCATAATTTGAGAGATACTTTATTTTAAGTTTTTTTTTTTTTTCAGTTTATCTTTGTCTATCATATTAAAATAGAATCTTAATTAATATTTATATTCTTTTTTTATTAAAATTATGATATAATAATAATGAAGAGTGATAAACAAAAATAGGCAGAAAAAGATATAGGTATAATACTCTAATCCTTAATAATATATATCATTTGAATTTAGAAAAATTATACTCATATATTACATAAGATTCATCTCTCATGTTACGTTTACATAAAAAGATGTGCCTCATTTTATTTTTGTTTATTTTTTTAAAAAATTAGTAAATCTCACTTAATTTATCTCAGAACATAAAATTACTCTCTCCTGCAACATGAGAGAATTAAAGCCTTGAATTTATACATTGGATTGGAGGGACTTTCATTTAACGGTATTTTGAGCCTATTGGGTCAAGGTCCCAAACTCTTTACAAAGCGTTTCTACTCGGAGTTTATATATATGGGCCTTACATCAATCTCAATTTAGTGGGCTTAATCCAGATTCCCCTTCCTAGCCTCACTTTAATTTAAGCTCTTATATTTCTCTTTTAATGAAGACAAAGAGACATAAAAGAGATAATATAAGAATTTAATCCCTCCCAATTTTTTCTGCACTATTATATTTATTTTTTATTTTAAAAAGTATTTTCAGACTAACAATTAAATCATCACAGCGACACTTCTTTTAGTTTTTATTTTTACTTCCATGCAATAATATTATAATACTACGCACAACAACTAATAAAATGAGTTTTGATTTAATCACAAAATTTGTAACCCTAACATTTTTTTCTTTTTTAATATACCGATCCTAATTAACTTTTAGATGCGAGTCAACCTCCGAAATATTATGCCTGGAATCGAAGGAGGGAAGTATTTGCAAGTCACTCTAATGTTGAAATCGATATTTAGGTGACTAATGTGAAATATATGATAAGATCAATATTTTTTTTACTCGTTAAATTTGCTGTTATATTACTTCTGTGTCCCAGGGGTCATTCATGTGATGGGTCATTATTTTTCAGTCATTAGGCCATCAATAAATCTCGGGCCTGTTTTATAGGTCCATATCAACTTTTATTATGAAATATTATTATTAACATTACTCTAGTTAGATAGGAATATTAAATTTTAATCCATCTAAGAAGATCCAATTATGAAAGATATTTGAAATAAATGAATAAAAAATAATGGAAGTTTAAATTAAACAGTTCCCACCATCAGCGCCACTAGCAATGGTCACAGATGCTTTAAGATTGTTCCTTGTTCTGTTTTAAAAAGGCCGAGTTTCAGACGAAACTGAATATAGAAGACCAATGACCATATAGTAGGGGACTTGTTGCATGTGACTGTGAGTCTGGCCAAGGTTCATTGACCCTTATAATTTATAGAAATGGACGATCTTTCCCAAGGCCATTTCTTTATACTTCTAAATTATATTAAGATATATTATTATGTTTTAAAATAATTTCTCCAGATCAAATCCATTTTTTATATCTAATACCCGTGTTTTTCTCGCTTCTAATAAACAAAACAAAAAGCTTAACAAAATAAAAAACATATTTCTGCCACGTGTGGAAGTAAACAAACAGCCTATCTGTGCCCTAACTGTGATTAGAGATGTCGGATCAGTGTTTATAATATTTTAATTAATTTGTATAGATTTTTAATTTTGAAAAAATATCAGACCAATATTGAAATGGGACATTGATTTAGTTGTCGGGTACGTATGCTTTCAGGATCAGGTAAATAATTTCGAAAATAATGGAATCTGACCCATTTGAGTGTATGAGACAGGTTGGGTAGTGGGTCTTTGTGCTCCCTATTAGTGTCCCTAATGCTTCATAAGAAAACATTCGAACCACATTAAACTAGAACAGGAAAAATAAAAATCTCTGTCATTGCTAGGTACTGGAGAGAAAGTTTTAAAGTTGTTTTGTTGTTCTGTTGTTGTCTGGAACTCTATCAATTCCTAGCAAATGTTCTTTGTGGCCTTAACTTCGAACTGTTGCGAGAATCACTTTAAATTTGTTGCTGGTGCATGCAGGGCCACCATTGGGGTCGATGGTTGTGGCCGGGGAAAACCTTGGCCATGTATGCAAATTTTCAAGGACTGAAAAAAAAGTGACACTAGTGTTTGAGGTAGTGAGAGTAACTTCCTGTCTTAGCACCTGCCCAAGTGTGTTTCGTGTCCTCGTTACGTGAGTGAATCAGAATGTTGTTTTTAACTAACGTATTATTATTGAATCATAGTTGACAAATATTTAAAATAAAATCCGCAAATTAAAGTAATAATAATTAAGCACGATCAATATACCAAAAAAAAAAAAAATTCCCGAGTTTTAATCTTATTTTCTTTTCAAAAATGATTTTTAAATTCATACTGATCATGTTGAGATATATAGTCCCACATTGATTGGATGGGCAACTAATATGGCCTTTATAAGGCCTTGGGCACTCTCACCCCTTGAGCTAGCTTTTAGGGTGTTGTATCCCAAGGTTCTTTACATGGTATCAAAGTCTCACCGTCCCCCACTTTAAAAAGTGGAATTAAAATAAAATAAAAAAGCACAAAAAGGTAAACCAAAAATGGGCCTGTGCAATTTCCACGCTTCTAGCCTAAAGGGCTCTTGCGTGAGGGGGCGTGTTGAGATATATAGTCCCACATTGATTGGATGGACAACTAATATGTCCTTTATAAGGCCTTGGGCACTCTCACCCCTTGAGCTAGCTTTTAGGGTGTTGTATCCCAAGGTTCTTTACAGATCAATCCAATAATTATTGGGTTGAATTTCACACGATTGAGCCTGAGTTACTGGAACTTAGTTGGAGCTAGTTCTGCGAGATCTGTGCCAAGCTTGCGATATGATTGGTCTAGTCTTGGTTCTTGATATCGGTTGAAGAGGCTGAGGTATTTACAAAACACTCCAATACTCAGGTCAATAGATATTCAAAATAGTCAAGTCAAGTATAATGGATATATAATCATACTTGGACTTAGTGCCTCTTGTAGTTATAAGCATATGTATGTCCTCTAGCCATTGAGTATAAGAGGGCAATAGCATTCTGAGCATATGATGTCGTATGTTCGCAATTGATTGAGCAGCCGATATCGTGTATTAGGAGGTTGTGGGATTGTCAACATATGTGAGATGAATGTGTTTCCTTCCCATGAAAACAATAGTCTTTTGGACCCTTTGAGCTTTTCACTGGTTTGGACCTATAATCCCATATCAGATGAGTACAAATCACATACTAGTAGTATTTCTCGTATAATTGTTTTTATTGATAATGTTATACTTTAATATATCATTTAACTAATATAAGTGTTTATTGTTATTCAAATTTGTTCCAAAGTAAAATTCTAACAAAAACTATAGAACTGAAACAAAAAATATTGTTGGGATAAGATTAAAGATTAGATCTAAATATGGGATAATAGACCGATATTTCACTCTAGCTTGGTAGGTAGGACAAGATGACATGTGAATGACACAACTCATAAATAATATCCAAAATCTCCCGTAGGATTTTGGAAGGAGTTTATTGTTGAAATTGTTAAGGTTGACATGGCCAAATTGAAAGAGATTAGGAGCATATCATTAATTAGATGTATAAAAGAGACATGGGACCAAGTGGAACACTTCTGGTCAGTTGTTTATGTGGAACAACTCGAAGTATATTCCCCCAGCTGGATTATTCTAACTTGTGGTTCATTTATATCTTTTTTTTTTATAGATAGGAAATAATGGTTCATTTATATCTACATACTCATATGGGAGCTGTGTGTCAGAGACAGATCAGATATTCCCCTCCAAATATTAGTAGTAGAGAGAGTGGCACATATGTAAGTTTGGTTATATATAATTTGTAGGTAAAGGCGTAAATAGGTTATGTTTGATCTGGTATAATACATTTAATAAAGGGTTCATCTAATCTCATATTACATGAGAGAAGATATCTTATGTTGTAGAGACACATGTGGTGGATCTCACTATTTACAAAAAAATAAAAAATAAAAATAAGAGTGTCACGATTTTCGATGGGTGTATAAGAGATAAACTACTTTTATGTTGCATAAGAGTAGTTTTTCCCTTTAATAAAATAGAAAACGTTTAGTTACAAAAAAAAAATAGGACATAAGTTTATTTTTAAAAGATCCAGGATTATATAAACTTATATTCCTTATATGATATTAATTATTATAAATAAAATAAAAAATTTATTTTAATAATTTAAATAAATAATAATAATATTTTAAAAAAAATTAAATATTTAATAGGTTTAAAAAGCTTAAACATATTAATAGATTAGGGTGAGTTTTTTATTTTATTTTTTTAGAAAAACTAAATAGTGGAGCCTTATTGAAACCTATAAAAAAATAAAAAAGATTAGGGTGAGTTTTTTATTTTTAAAAGATAAAAAATCAAACCTTATTCAAATTATTTTATATAAACATAATTTGCTTATGTTAAAAGCTAGCTTATTTGTCAACCTAAAAAAAAAAAGGCTAGCTTATTTATGCCCAACCTGTAGGTTAGAGATTTTCTTTTCGGTTGTAAAATTTTTCTCAACTTTGCTGCCTCTACATATATATGTTGTCACTTCCTTCACGAAGAAAAGAAAAGAATATACCAACGAGTACAGTTCGTCTAAGTTGAATTTTTTAAATATATTAATAGGGGTTCGATTTCTAATTGTATATATAAAAAATACTTTATTAAAAGAGATTTATTTACTTAATATGATTTCTCATCTCTAGAAAATTAATCTTCAACTATCGGCTGAAGGATACATTGAGAAACCAAAAAAATAAAATAAATGAATATATATTACAT